AAAACAAAACTCACTATCACCTTCCAGAAGGTCTCTGCCAGCGGTTTTATAAAACCCACAGTGTTACAATGTTGTTACCTTCATGCTTGCAGAACTTTAGATAACTTTAGAAAGGCTGATTGAAACAACCATGGGGGAGGGTACCCGATCTTTTCTCTTAAAGGATATCTCTACCAGATGGAGGTGAAAGCATATTTGAAAAACATTGCTTTATTTATTTATTATTATTAAATAGGGGTTGCTTTCAGAGTTTGTGATTTTTCTCTTTGAGAGACCCCCAGATATTTATTGACTGACAAGTTTCTGGAGATGTTAAAGTAAATATGAATATGCAAAGACCAGTTGGATTACATGAATTCTAAAATCACTGAATTGGGGGCAGGGAGAGTTTTTACCTACGATAAGGGTTTTACATGAGTGCCCACATCTAGGCTTCACTGAGAATAAACGTAATGGCTCTGTTGTCAACAAACAGCAGATCTTGGACTTGGTAAAACAAAGGGGGTGGGGGCCTGATAATTTGATTAATCCCTCATGTTGACAAAATCTACGATATAATATTTGCAATTTTTCCAAATCTTTTTTTAGAGTATTTCGATTAATTTATCAAGAAGACCAAGAACAAATGTATTTCTTACTATAATAAATACAGGACAAGGGTTAATAAAATCAAGGAATTTTTAAAATAGTTGTTTGTTCGAACGAAAAGGAGCTTTATCATGCCATAAGAAAGCAAAACAATCTTACACAGTTGAAAAAAATTTAGTTGACAGTAAGAGAGTTTAAGTCAGGCCCAGTACATTACTTAACCTGCAACATCAATACTAAACGTTCTGGCTCTTACTGTGTTTTGTATTTCAACAAAGAGACTTCTTAAACTCTAAAAAGGGGTTCAGTGTCTGGTTTTGGCTTTTGAACTGATCCAGTGTTAAACTTTTCAAAACACTTAATTGTGCCACATGTTACGTTAACCTGGGATTTCTTAAGAGTCTTCAAAGGAATTTTCTCTTATTTGTATAACAAGCAGGTGGTTAGATCTTCAAGCCAGGTGCCTAGGCTAAACTCCACCTACAAGGGGAGTTGGAGGCACTATGTTTGCGGATATTCGCATTTCAAAGAGAAGGCTTCAAGAATGTTAAAAAAGACCTTCCTGGGGTGTCATTCTGCCAAGAGGCTTAGTTACTTTCGTAAAAGATTTATGTGCCCCTCAAAAGGAAGGAAAAAGAAGGCAAGAGCCTATTGGGCTGGGTCACAGACCCTTCTATCTCATCCTGTGCGGGTCCTGAGTCAGGTAAGTGAAAGAAAAACTGCACAGCCACGGGCTGGCAAAGTTGGCATGCTTTATTCTTAGACATAAGCTCTGCTGACCAGCGGTTCAAAGCCGCTGCCTTCCGTACAAGAGTACGTACACAAACAGCAGTGAGCCAAAAGGGTTCCCCAGGGTGTGCATATGCACCAACTCGACTCCCACACAATTTGTTTACAACGGATATGCTGAATCATACCAAGCACGTGATGAGGGGAGAGGGCCTGACCAAACCGACTGCACTTTCTGCACAGTCACTTTTGAGAACAATGGAAACTGATATTTTACTTTTCTTCAGTCTTAAGTTTTCTGCACAAATAAAAAGTACTCCTTTAAACTCCTCTAATCAGCAGTCTAGAACTGCTGCTTTTGTTTTTACAAAACATATTTGTAGTTTTGTCAGTCTCTCTACTTTAATCTATGAATTTTTTGTGATCTCAATCAAAATGTTACCAATAGGTGAGGCTTGGCTTGCCCTCGCGCCTTAAACAAATGGCCCGAAAGTCCAAAAGTTGATGCGAGGATTGGAAGCTTTATTCAGATAACCTAATTGGGGTGGTAGTTACTCAGGTATATGCATTTGTCAAAGTTTATCAACGTGGAAATAAAAGAACTGTGCACAATATCTCATGTAGATTATACTAGACATTTTTTTAAGTAAACATATGAAATAAAATATTAAGGTACATAAAATACTTTTGATTTCTAAAGGATATTTGTCGTATTTTACAATGCCAACAGATAAAATATATTTAGAGGGATGCAGGGAACCCTCTGTTGAATTAAGCAAATGGTCAGAAATGAATCTGTGCATATATGGAAAATTAGTGTATGACAAAGTGACATTTCATATCAGTGGAAAAAATATTATCTAGTTCAGTGGTTATTATAAATTAGTATTTATGTAAGTAAATCAGGAAAAGATATCTACATTACTCTTCCACTAAAATATTTCTAGATGGTACAATTACTCGGGTTAAAAATAGCCAATATTTAGTTAGTTATTTACTAATGCCAACCTCTGTTCTAAGTACCTTTGATATACATTTACTCACTTAATGATTGCATACCTATACTCATTTGGTCTTTGGTACAGCCCAGTTAAGGTTGGTTTTGTCAGTAGTGGTAATGGTGGTTGTGGTAATAGTAAAATAGTAAAAATAGTAAAAGTAGTTGTTGTGGTAGTGAAAGGTGAGGAAATTGAGATGTGGACGGGTTAAGTAAATCTTTCAGTGTCAGGCCTTATATGTGACAGAGAAGGGAGTCAAACCTGGAGCGTTTGCTTCTAAAACCCATGTTCTTAGTTTGATCCCTGACCCCCTCTATGTACATTTTAAGTGTTGGCATTGTACAATATGGCAAATATCCATTAAAAATCAAAGGCACACTTAGTGCTTATAGTCTAAATTTCTATTTAAAATAGCAAAAATACTTCCCTTTAATACTGCTAAAATAATATATGTAAACAGCGGTTCCTCTGCTGGGTATGTACCCCACAAAATTCATACAGAGCTTCTCCCATCAGACATGAGAAAGAATGTACCAAGAACAGAATTGTTTGTTATAGCTGAAACCAGAAAGTGCCCATTTGTCTGCCCAACAAAAATAGAATGAAATACATGCATTTCTCTTCTTATATTAAGCAAAAGAAGCTGCACTAATATTTTTATTTTTATTTCTTTAAAATGTCAAAGAGAAGTATTCAGTGGTACTGTTATGGCATGGTAAGGAATGCTTTACTGAGGACCATCTCAATAGGTATAGGGACCACCACAATGGGGTCTTGCAGTGGGGGAGACGGATTGGACTCAACTCTAAATACAGCATGGGCAGTGGGGATTTATAGCCAAGGAGTGGGGTGTGGGTCCATGGATGGAAAATTCCTGAGAGGAGTCATCAGGGGTAAAGGGGATTCTTGCTAAACCAGCCTAACTGGTTTTTGCTGAAGTCAGGCCAGGGTGACCAGATGGAGAATTGTGGAGGATGAGGATATTAACGGTGATCAGATACAGGGAGAGGAAGTCCTTAGTACACTGATTTAGCATGGTTCTTTGTTAAGAGTGGATTTTACAAGGAAGTGCACAGATGAGGCTGTGAGAAGGTTCAGCGTTCCCGTGATAGCTTGGCCAAGCAGAGAAGTTCAAGAACAGGAAAATAAATCTAGAGTGATGAAGATCAAAATAAAGTTTATTTCTTGGAGACTTGAAAGAGCGGTTTTAAATATCACAAAGTAGTTCAAGTAGTTGTTTAAAAGATATTGCTGGTGGGGTGGTGGGGAGGATGGCCAGTTAGTTCAGTTGGTTAGAGTATGGTGCTGTTAACACCAAAGTCTAGGGTTCATTCCTGTACCAGCTTGTCAGCCAGCCTGGGGGTTGGGGGTGGGGGGAGGTTAGGGGCAACACATATTTTTTATTTGACATAAAAGCTCAGATGAAGAATATTGTTTCTGGGCCGGCCCGTGGCTCACTCGGGAGAGTGTGGTGCTGATAACACCAAGGCCACAGGTTCGGATCCCACGTAGGGATGGCCGGTTGGCTCACTGGGTGAGCGTGGTGCTGACACCACCAAGTCAAGGGTTAAGATCCTCTTACCGGTGGTCTTTAAAAAAAAAAAAAAATTGTTTCTGGAATAAATTGGTCTGTGAAATTAACTTGTTTTTTGAACCTGTAGCTTTGTTTCAAAAATCAGGATATCTAGCTGTAATGTATGTTTTAGTGTTTCAAAGTTTTCTTATCTGGGGCATTGTGGGGTTTTTTTGTTTGTTTCTTTCCTTTGGCAGCTGGCCTGTACATGGATCTGAACCCTTGACTTTAGTGTTATCACCTGGGGCTGGGTTTTGGAATGTATGTACTGAAAAGTTGATTTTCATATAAGACAAGTATTTTGAAGATCGATTTATTTTTATTCTACAAAGTGATGCCTTTTGTGGGTAAATTGCTAGTTTTCTACTCTAGCTTATGTGCAAATTTTATAATGTCTCTGGTTTAAATTATCATTGAAATCTCAACAAATTAGCCATATTGGACCCCAGTCCCCATCTTCCCAACCCCATAGTCTGAACAGTGCATAGTTTCAACATTTCATCTCTATTTTTTTTATTTCATAAACTTAAAAGTTAATTGGCATTGGAAACAAGTAGATTGTCACTGTTGCGAAATGATGACTCTCATACACATGTAAAACCGAACACGAGTTAAAGATTTTATTTTCCCAGATAGATGTTACTTGTCATCAGTTCAAAGTATACGTCAGAGCGCACAGATTTATATGCAGTGCTCCATTACCGACTGAACTGCAAATGGAGCCAAAATTGGTGTTTGCACAGCGCGGAGGGGAGACAAAGACGCGCAAAAAAGCTGAAAGACCAGTGAACACGTGGTCTTGGAAGGACTGGTCACGCTACATAGTTTTTCATCGCACTGCACATATGTGTATGTATATTTTTCTATAACGTTTGCGTATGTTTCTCATCTGTATATTTGTGAATTACAACAGAGCGGAGTACCTTCTCATCAAGTTAGCACTCTGTTAACCATAAACAGAGGTCGAATCATTTCTGAAGGTCCTAATTCATAAACGTTAAATGTTAAACACCTTTACATACTTATTTGGGAATTAAGTCAAAGATGAAATAATAGTAAAATTAAAGTGAATGGCGAGAGCAAAGAAATCAGTATCGAAACTAAACCTGAAGTCAGGACAGTAAGTCAGGGTAAAAAGGAACGTCCCCGTAGGTCTGTGTTGCCAGTATTACCCGATTGTCACTCAGGTCTGAGGAGATGCTGAGGCGCTCCTGTTGCAGCATCGAGCAGGCTGTATTCATCGGCTGTGAATGGCTTCGCTGGTCCTCCATTCGTGAGTATGCAGCCTTGGTATAGCCCTCCCTGTATGTGAAGGTGTACACGCTCTGGTCCACGTTCACTTGGCTGCACAGTACCGAAGAGGGGTCTACGGGCAGCAAACGTCCACTCTTCTGTAGCAGTTTAACCTTGCGGCGAGGTCGATACTTGTAGTCCGGGTATTTGTCTCTGTGTATGGCCTGTAATCTCTGTGCTTCCTGGAAGAATGGCCATTTTTCGGCTTCTGTCAGCGTTTTCCACTGGTATCCCAGCCGCTTGCTGATCTCTGAGTTTTGCATTTTGGGATTCTCTAAAGCCATCTTGCGCCTCTGGTCTCGAGACCACACCATGAATGCGTTCATGGGTCGCTTGACCCGGTCGTGGCCTATCTCTTTACCGTTTTCTTCCGTTTCACACCGATCGTTTGAGCTAGGATTGTCCGTCCAAAGGAGGGAAGAGTTTTTCCTGGAGTCGGGGATATTCTGTTGCTTCACGTCAGGGCTTTGACTTTCGCCGTTCAATACTCTGAACATAGCGAAAGCATATGACCGCTTTCCAGAAAGAAAAAAAAAGGCGGAGTGTGGCAGAGACAAAACTCAAAAGCCTAAGCGTTCGGAAACGTATTCCAAACCTATTTCTGCCAGAGGCTTTGTTATCTCAACTTTTGTAATAAAATATTCAT